GACCCCAAGACGGCCAGCCAAACCCCTAAACTTGCCTCCTCTACCCTCAAGAACGGCGGCCCCAAGTCTCCTTCCCGCCCAGCTCGCACTCATGGATCCATGCTCGCTCCAGCTGCGTCATCCACAGCAAAGCCCAACGCATCGCCCTCCCGGCCCTCAAGCCGAAACAGTACTTCTGCCAGCACCGCAAAAGCCCAAGCTCTCAGCCGCAAACCGTCAACCTTAAGACCTTCTGCCCCTCGAACCACAGGTACATCCAAACCTTCAGTTCCATCCGCCACCACAACCACGGTTCGCAAACAAGGTTCCCGAGCCTCCCTCGCACCACAGCATACTTCCTCCCACGACAGACCGACTTCTCGCGCCAGCATCCTCAGCTCTCGACCCGTCGATGACTCCTCACTGGCGAGACTAATACGACCAACCGCCAGTTCGGCGAATAAGAGACAGGAGAAGCTAGACATCACCAGCCCTCCCAGGCTCGCTAAAGCACCAAGAAAACCGGCGGACAAGGCACCCCATACCGGAAGCCCTGTGAGAACCAAATCGACTAGGCTGTCTGTACGACCGGCTGGCGACGAGCATGCTCGTGAAACCGCCCCAACAGAAGTGGCGTCATCAAAACCTGCTGAACCGGTTTCCGCAGAAGAGGAAAAACCAGTGGAGCCCAAGGCCCCTCCAGCTACAGTGTCAACAGCGACCCAGCCTGAAGATCAACCAAAGGAAGCCCAACCTGAACCCGTCTCACAAGAAGTAGCTCAACCTCAGCCAGTTGAGGTCCAGGAAGAAACTCAGCCTGAACCAACCCAACCAGAAACCCAGCCAGAGCCTCAGCCTCAACAGGAGGAAGTCAAGCCTGTGGAGGTCGCTATACCAGAACCACTGCCGGAGGAAGTCAAGCCAGAGGAAGCCAAGGCGGAGGAAACTCCCGCAAAGGAAGCTGAACCAGTAGAAGCTCAACCGGTAATAGCTTCAGCGGTAGAAGTGTAACCGCTAATATCAACACCAACTCCGCCAAAGAACTCTTACTAAACTAACCCTTAGATCTCCCATTTATTTTTTTTTTCCCATCAAACATCTTATTAGCATTTAACCTCGCAGCACAATAAACTACACAAATTGGAATTATCTCTCGGGCTACAGTTGGATATATATTGTTTTCTTGTGAAACTTCCCTCGTCACCATCCCCTTAGCCTTCCTCTGGTCTATCCTGACTCTTACCTCCTCCACCACAGCCTTTGTATACCATATCTTCCTTCTTTCGACCAACTCTACCTCCTTCTCTTCCTCCTACTTCACTCAACCCCCCCACTCTACACTCTACGTCGTGACACTTCTTATATATCTCCCTTTGCATCTGGTCTGTCAACAGCTAAGGGGCTTGTCCGTGTTTACAAGGATATTTTTCTTCTCCCTTGCGTTTTGGATATTTTGCTTGTTGAAAGTCTGCTGCTCCTGTAAATCATTAAGCCAGTTATTATTATCTCTTGTTTCTTTTACAAACATATTCTGGTTACTATCATCCTCTTTGCTCTCCATCTACCATACTATGTATGCTCTCGTGAGAAAGTAAGAAATGCTGGGTCGAAGTTCACGCGTCTCAACCTCGGCACAAACCCGTCCGATTCTACCCGGTCGCCCTTTACGCCTTTTTCTCGTTTCCAAAGCACAAACTTGGGCTTCTCAGGTTTACTCTCTCTCTCTCCTTTTCTCACGTATGATGTATCGGCTGCAGGTCTATGTCGAGGACTGTATTCCCGAGCTGGATTGCTATAGGGGGATGGACGTTTATTTGACAGAGCTCACAAAACGATCATATAGATCCATAAACATTGAAAAAGAAGGCGTCAAAACACGTACCAGCATTTATTATCTCCCAATGCAAAAAATGAACTAATAAAGAAAAGCCATCATCTTCATCCAGAAAGAGAACCTTTTCCATTTTCCATTCATCTTTTCTTTTCACCTTTTTTTTTTTGGGGGTTTTTTTCCTAGATAAGACCTAGGTGGTCTGGTTCAGCCGGGACAACGCGGATGGTGTTGGTATGTCCCTGGCCACCACGCCAACCTTGGACGCAGACGACTGGAGTACCCTTGGAGATGATGCTAAGGTCAATGGCCTGAGCAATACCCCATTTCAGACGAAGGTCGACATTCTTCTGCCACTCAGTGACGTTATAGTCGGGCTTGGGCTCGTTGAAGATAAAAGGGTACACTCCGCGGTACAAGTGGGAGTACTATGCAACGAAAATCATCAATAACTATAATCTAGGGCGTACTAACGCAGGGATGGGGGTGGTATGACTTACTCTGGCAGCTCTGGGGTTGCGGGTTACCATAATGATGGGGCAGACTGGACGGTACTTGGATAGAAGACGAGCAGTATTGCCGCTACACACGAGTACATATTTGTGTCAGTTAAAGCCCGTCAAACCGGAGAAGAGTGCCGACAACTTACGAAGTGGTGAGAACCAAGATGGCACCGGCGTTCAGTTCCAGACTAGCAGAGACGGCTGCCATGGCAATCGATTCCAGAGTGTCGGAAGGACGGGGGGCCAGGCTGCGCAGTTCGTCGAATACGCTGACATACGGGATTGCAATTTCAGCGAGAAGACAGGTCTCATGCATCATGGCTACGGCTTCCTTGGGGTAGTTACCCTTGGCAGTCTCGCCGGACAACATGACGCAGTCTGCACCGTCAAGGACAGCGTTGGCGACGTCAGACACCTCAGCACGAGTTGGGCGTGGGTTATAGGTCATGGACTCCAACATCTGGGTAGCGCAGATGACTGGCTTGCCCTTGATATTGCACTTCGCGATCATCATCTTCTGGGCAATGAAGACCTTTGCGGCAGGAATCTCGATACCGAGGTCACCACGAGCAACCATGACACCATCAGTCTCCTGCAGAATCTCGTCAAAGTTGTTCATTCCTTGCTGGTTCTCGATCTTGGCGATGATCTGAATCTCCTTTCCTGCCTCGCCCAAGACAGCACGGATGTGTTTGATATCGCTGCCATGGCGGATGAAGGAGGCAAAGATCATGTCGACGCCGTTCTCAACACCGAATTTCAAGTCTTCCTTGTCCTTTTCGGACAACGCGGGCAGATCGACATCGGTACCCGGTAAGTTTACACCCTTTTTGGAGGAGATGTTTCCGTTGTTCAGACACTTGACGCGCAAGGTCTTGTCATCGACAATATCGAGAACCTCAAACGAGAGAACACCATCATCTACGTATACCAGCTTGCCCTTTGAGATGACCTTGGTGATGTTCTTATAGTCGACGTACCTATGGGGAAAGCATCCAAGGTTAGTACTGGAACGAGTACGACTACTATGGAACGAGGAGGGGGGAAACGAACATATTCTTGTCATCACTGCTGGTGGCATATTGATCGTCAGTTGTAATATTCAACTCCGTTCCCTCCTTGATGGGAATGTCCTTGTCGCCAGGGGTGTTTCCAGTACGAATCTCAGGTCCTTTCTACAGGGATGTCAGTTTCAAACCCATGTCGACATACCCGATAGGTCTTGGACGTACGGTGTCGAGAGCAATTGCAAGTGGACGGCCGGCCTGAAGACGCTCAGCTTCTCTGGCGTTGTCAATGACAGATTTGTGGTACTAGACAGATCGAACAACAAGTTAGCTAAACAAAATAGTCAAAGAGGATGTTAAGTTAATAATGTGAATCCTACCTCATGAGACCCATGGGAGAAGTTCATGCGAACAACATTGAGACCAGCTACATGAGCGAGACATCAGTGTACCATATCCTCCCGGAGAGGAAGAGAGGGGAGGCAGACCTTCACGGAGGATGTTAATCTTCTCAACTGAGTTTGTCTTCGGACCTAAGCAATTGGATAGAAGCATTAGCCAGAGCCCAGAGCTGTCCGTCGTAGGCGTGAACAAGTCTCACTCACCAATGGTGCAGATAATGGAGGTGCGACGGTAGTTGTTAGCGGGTTGATACTCCGTATCAAGCTGGGAGTGCCACTCCAGCTTCATTCTGTTCGAGAGATGGTCTAACGCGTTTGCCATGACTGCTGGATCCTGATGGCGCCGTGGCCGACTTTATAGAGGAGAGAGACGAGGGCGGGAAGGACGAGCGAGGAACTGCCTTGATTTATAGCAGGTGGCGCAGTCGAAGGTAGAAATACAAGGAGAGAACGTCGCAGATGCAGCTCAGGAAGGTCGTGTTTTAATGCGTGTGTCGAGTTGGCTGCTTTTTTGTTGGGCGTTGAGCGACTTTTTTTCTTTTAGCGGGACTTGCTTAGGCACACACTTGCCGTGGTGTTTTATAAGTTGCGACGGTGATATAAAAAAGCACTTCTAAGTGTTTGAATATCATCCAAGGGCTATATTCTGCGGGTTGCCCTTCCGTAGTCTTGTGGCCTGCTCAGCTGTCTACCATACGTGATATGAAGGAGTTGCGAGGTCGCTCTAAGAGGGTCCTGACAGCTCACGATGCACAGGGCGGCAGGGCCCTTCTCTCTCCCTGCATGGAGGAAGATAAGTAATGCCGGCTTCCAGCTACGTCACTGGCGACTTGTCCTTCTCTTACTTTACTCGCCCGCCTCACCTTGTTTCGTCTTACACACCCACCCACATCCCACACATATCCATCCATCCTTCATACTTACAGCATCCTCCGTACTCACATACAATTCTCTACTTCCTCTTTTTTTGCTACTGGACGCTCGGACTTGGCGGGGTCAAATAATGAACCCGACCCGCCTGAGCTCTCTCATTGGCTGGCTTCTTATCAGTGTTTCGGATCATCTTCCTTCCGTTAAAGTGGGTCCCGAGATAACAGAGATGGCACTAGTCTATAAAGGGGAAGCCGAAAGGCTTATATAACCATCTTAGGTAAACTATTAGTAACATACCACATGATAATCACATGATGACCAGGTGACCTCATATCGATTAATCAGGCACGGTCCATGAAGGGAAAGAGGAAGGACGAACGGCTTCTGGTCGCCATAGACAACGCCAGCACGAAAAGAAAAAGACTTCTCGCCTGAAGCTCGACTTCAACGATCACCCATCAACTTCTCCCCTGCTCAGCTCATATCTCCCCAGCTCTAACAAGATGGTGGCACGTTGGCTCTCTTCCTCCTGGTTCTCCGGAAGCTGTTAGCTAACACCGTTGATCCAATAGTTCGGGCGTCTCACGCACTATGCTATTGATGCTGTGCTCCGTACGTATTCACCCTGTTCTATCTTTCCTACCTTGGTGTACCACACACTGACGTCCTCTAGTCTCTGCGTTTCTAGCAGGAATCAAGCGGTCGACAGGTTTAACGTAAATACCCTTCCCGTCTATACACGATATAACTCTCTACACACACCTTTTCAGTGGAAACAAAATAGCTAACTCCTCGTGTCCCCCCGCCCGCCCGGCCCATGGGCTCCGTCCGACTCTCACCTCACCCCGTCTCACCCACGGCCATGCCAGAGGAGAAGCGCAGTGTTGGTGAAGCGGACGAGCCCTTGCATGGGCCGTGGACGAACGGCCAATATGACGTTAGCCCCAGCCTGAACTCTGATAAAATCACAGAGAGCAAAGAAGTCAAACGATGGCTAGACGGCTATCTCGGTGTCGGTGAATGGGTGATGGACCAAAGCATCGCGGTGTTGGGATCGAGCGGGTACTTCGAGCGCAAACGGTGATCGCAGTAGAACTTCTCCTACTCCCTTCTCTCTCCTCCGTCCTATCTCCCTTTTCAGCGTATGATCTTGGTTGCTTTATCTGGCCTATTGTTTCACTATCACATGTTCCTTTTTTTTTTTTGGCGGAATATGAAGACGTATTGTTTTTGGCCTCGGAGCTACCCTAGCAGTGGTGTTATTGATAAATCTCGATGGGGGCTATACTCTATTACATGATGGCGGTCAGTGCCAACGCCTCACTAATATGCAACACGGTGGAAGGGGTAGAAGCGATGTAGTAGGAATATGCGTGTGCCGTTGGCTGGGAATTACATCTTCATTCAGCGATGCTATTTCAATCTTCTCTTTTGCATCTCGGCTTTCTCTTTTCCAGATCTGTTCTGTTGGATAGTTACCAGTCTACCTCATACAGTCCCCTCTGGCATCTCACCGCTACATCTTGATATACGCCAGCGTCCCTGGACTCTATTAGATCAGAGAAGGCCGAGGAGCAGCCCAGGTCATTGCTCAGGGAGATATTAATAGATCAGTGGTAGTATAAACCGTTCTGATACCAGCTATACAATTCTGTCTGACAACTAGTGCTTGCTCTAGCAGTCCATAATGTATCAAACTGAGTCAGGGCTACCCATGTTTCTGTTTCGGAGATTTTGTAATTTGTCCAAAGTTGCATATGGGACTTCCGTAGGTTTGAGAAGCCGTCTCTACAGTATGAGAAACACAATAGGAGAAACAAGGGGCAAAAACAGCTATCTTTAACTCGACTTTACGTACCATAATATCACTGCGCTTTATTCTGTGATTGAAAACATGTATGGTCTGTACAAGTGGATGTATTATGTACTCCGTGCGTCGTTGCTGTATGTAGATAGCAGGGCAAAGAAAAGAAACAGAACAAAGCAAATATATCAAGGCCAGTCCAGGCCAACGCCATCCCCGCACCGCAGAAAATAGAGACCAAGTAAAGAAAGAAAGACAAAGCAAAAGTAGGAAATCTATATAGCCTGATGCTAATTTCACTGTAGTGGTCATAGACGGGTCATTACTCTCTGTCTCTCTTTGGTAGTTCAAAACAAGAAATAAAACGAAACAGTGGGTATATGAAATGATGCTATCCGGAGGTGACGTGCAAAAAATATTTATGCGCGCTGATCATGTCTGAAAGGCTCGTAGGCAGTGTCTTGGGCGTGGTGAGAGGGCATGTTGTGCATGGGGACGGAAGACCCAGGGTGCACACCATATGGACTAGCAACACGTTCGTAGGTGTAAGGAGCCTTTTCGGCAGTAATGCCACGTCGGTTATCGCGGTGGCCGTATGGAGAGCGGCCGGAGCAGCAGCAGACGCTGAGGAGCCAGAAGAATCCACCAGCAAGCGTGAAGAGGGCTCCTAACCAGTAGATGGAGAGCATGCGGGTGCCGACGCTGGCCTTGATGTCGAATGGCTTAAGGCCCGTTTTGATAGCTCCGACAAGGATACCGTAGAGGACGGAAGCGGTGGCGGCAGAGCCAATGGTGAATACGGCAGCAACCTGGTAGGTGAGTTTAGCTACAAATCCGAGTTATGCTGTGTGTATGTTGAGGTGACGAGACTTACTGCGGCAACGAGGGTGGTGAAAAAGCTACCCCATCGGCTAAAGATGGCTGAAATTCCGACCAGAAGCTGAACGGCGGAGGCAGAGATGGCAACGGCGTATGCAACGAACATCCATCCGGCGACCTTCTTATAGGTGTTTAGGCCCTTCTGCAGGGTCGATGGGTAGAGCTGTTCGATGGTATCATCGACGCCCCAGACTTCGGCAGGGTTGAACCAGAACTTCGACTGTCGAGGAGAACAATGGGTGACGTGGTCCGCTCCGTTCTTGTTGTCACCATAACAATAGTTCCACATACCGACGATGTAGAAGTCATGAATCTCGCCTTTGGCTTTAGCCTGCTCGAGGCCATGTGCAAGAGGTTGTAGCCGACTATTTAGCCCAGACGGGGAGGTATTGAGATCTTTCATATCAACCTATGCAGGTGTTAGAGCTCATCGTAAAACGACTAAAACTGCTACAAGGCTGGGCTGACCTTTGCAAAGTAGACATCTGTAAGAGTGCTAGTGTTGTAGCATCCCAGACCGACTAGAGCAAGGCATACAAGTGTTCCGATTGAGAGAATGTAAGGTAGGAAAATGCACGCAAATCGCCCGCCTTTGCCCATTTTGTTTTGTTGGTACCTGAAATAGTGCCTGAAACAGTTCGAGATTTGCTAGAATGAGACGAGATAGCAGCTGAGAGTGGGGTAGCGGTGTATAAGAGCTGGAGAAGCAACCTGTGTGCAACGGAATAACCTGGGGTTTAGAAGGAGGAAAAAGATGTTTGTTGTGATGTTTGTCCTGCTAGGGACGAAGCCCTTAATATATCTCAAGCTGACGCGCGCCGCATGGCTGAGCCAGGGAGAGAAAAAAGGTCGCCGGTGGGTCTGTGGCAGGGCAGAGACAGCTGCTTACATAAACAACGAAGGGGCCCAGAATACCAATACAAGCTTCGTAAGCTTCAAAGCTGCGGGGGAAAAAGGGCCGTTACGCCAGTAATACCGCTAAACTTACCCGTTCGTTTAAAACGAGTTAGTGCCTTTTGGAATCTCACTTCTATTCCTGGCTCCTCGTGGCGCCGCTAGCCTTCTTGGGACTAGTGCAATGGGCTGAGCGGTAAAGGACCCACTTTTCTCAGCTTCCTTCCTTCGTTTTCTGTTTTTACCCAAAAGAGGAAAGAACGATCAACACACTCTTTTCCGACTTCTTGCGACTTTTTTTTCTTCACTGCGCCTGGCGATGCGTTGGCCGATGGCTTGTATACCAAGAAACTAAGAAGTACAAGGATATATCTTCAAGAAAGATGGAGATGCAGACGTTGGTTGGCCGAGATACCCAAGTGAGGAGGATATCAAAAGTCAGGTTATAGCTACAGAGTGTATACCCCCGAGGTCGTCATGCTCTCACTACTTACTTTCTTAACGCACCGTTACGTGTCTTTTCTTCTTGACACGAACACGCTCGTTTCTTCTTCTCCTCTCTCTCTCTTCTTCGCCAATTCTGCATTTTCTCATCTTTCTTTCTTAACAAACAGTTGATCAATAACAAGCTTCAATCTAGATCAGACACGCTGAACCATCCTACCACCCTGCACTATTTCCAGCCTAGGACGCGAGTATGCATTCTCAGAAGATTCGGCACGTCCAGCTCAATTCACGAGAGTCAGCTAAGATAAAATGGAATGAGATGATGAAGACATTCCTCTGTGTCTTAGTACGCTGCTACGTTTTGAATTGGGAGAAGTTCACAGCCACTTTCAATCTCGCGTTTGCTGAAAGCCTCCGAGCATATGGCTTGAGAAACGGCACTCGATCTCAACCGCTGAGGAGCCAGTGGCATCACTTAAAACATTGGAAGGATGATATATGGCTCTGCGTGAATAATACTCCTCCCGCACAGTGGGCTGGAATCAGTTTATTCGTTGAGATGATTGAGCGTGTGACTCGAGGAAAAATTCATCTTCTTGCTCGGCATGGCGTTGATATCCAACACCTAGTAGAGATGGGCAAAAACGCGCGTCTAAGATGCCATGCAGATCAATGCCCAGTTCAACAGACGCCGCCAAAAACTCCAAGCCGTGCTGTACCAGCATCTGCCATACCACCACCACCAGCTAGGGAGCTTCCAACACCATCTCTAAGCCCGGACCAAAGTGTACGACCTAATATCATACCACCACCACTATTGTTTCGATTTTGGACCAGCAATAGTGGTGGCATAAACTCGGATAACAAGTTTGTGGGTGGTATGTGGGCTGAAGATTTAGGAGTCCCTATACCCGATAACTCCTTGGTTGATACACGAATAATATCTTCATTAATCAGAACACATCTTACAAGAATAAACGTAGCCTCTGCGTTTATCTCAACGTCAACCAGCCCCCTTGGGGTGTTTCATCGCGCCTTAAAGGAGAGGAAAGCTCAGATTTCTATCTTAGATACGTCTAAAATTAGTCTCACCCAGTTATACCCGGCAATATCCTATCTTCGATATGATCCTATCCAATATGGTACGCAAGGAAAGAGTCGATACTTTGGCCAGGGCGAATGGCTCGTCTGGGGTGCTATCCCACCAGAGGCTATCCTTACTACCTTCTCCACGAGCACTCTATTTTCAATATCCAGTGAATACCCTAGCATCGGAAAGTTGCTGCAGCTTCACGTTATTAAGGACGCCAAATTCAACAGAGCACCACTAGGCAGGAAACTCAGATCAAAGAATGTCGTGGCAGATATACAGTCCGGTAGATATATGGGGCAGCTCTTGAAGCTGCTTAATGTCCCACAATCTCATATTGCTGCACTCTCTACGCTGTTTGCGGTGAAGTGGAGTTTCCGGTCTCCCGGAGACAAGAGGGCATCTTACCTGCAAGGGGTTCAGCGAGGGTACATCAGTGCCTTCGGCCTAGACATTCCACTTAACACCACGGAGGCTGATGAGGAGAACGAAGACCCTGCCGGAGAATATTATGAAGATGAAGACGGTGGCGAAGACGACGAAGGAGATCTAGACTACAACGATGCCAGGGAAGTTACCCCCGATCCGGTGGTAGACTCCTTCGCAGTTAAACGGGCAACAATCACATCTATGTTGAGAAATTGAAGTTACTGAGAGAATAAGAGGTGGAATCAATCTGTATTTCATTTACTTATTTACCGTCTGCGTTGCCACGATATTTGGCTGGAAAGCCTTGTTTGAGCTTTTACGAGTGAACTTTGAATGTTTTTTTTTTCGGACACTGTGATCATTGTTCTCGTTAACAGGAAAAAGAAGTTCCATTTCACAAGAAACTAAAAACACTCCAATTGGAACGTGGCAACTTGAGAAAGACATGCCGAAAGCGTTGCCGTTGATAAGTAGTCCCTTTTAAGTAAAGAGTACAATAGAGAGATTAAGTAGAGAACAAGGGTTTGAAGTTTGAATTGGAGTATCATTTTTTTCTTCTTGCTTGGCCTGTCCTGTTCACTGATTTCGATTTCTCCCCACGATTTCTAAGGCACCATGTATCCCATCATGTCATGCAGTATCGATCCATCAGCGCACGTAGACAAACAACCTTCCATTCACGCCATTATACCCTAATTTAGAATTTTTGGAATGACTTGACGGCCTTGCCAGTACGAGGTAGAACGCGAAGGACGTTGAATCGGACCTAAGACTCGTTAGCTACGGGGTCCCCAAAGTAAAGGATGTTTTATCAGAGAACGCACAGTCTTGCTCAATGGTCTGCACTGGCCAACGGTAACTTGGTCACCTTCCTCAACACGGAAGGCAGGAGAGACGTGTGCAGCGAGGTTCTTGTGTCTCTTCTCGTAACGGGAGTACTTGGGGATGTAGTGGAGGTATTCACGTCGGATGACAAGGGTGCGGTGCATCTTGGTGGAAACAACGGTACCGGTCAAGATGCGGCCACGGATGGAAACCTGACCGGTGAAAGGGCACTTCTTGTCTATAGAGAACAAAGCCGTTAGAAACCCATTGCCAATAGCTTGTTTGGAGCCTCATTGCGATTCTTGCAGGTATCATCGTGAGATTGGCATAGAACAGAGGGCCTAGGGGTATTCTCGTTCTCATCCATTCACGTCATAGCTCATGAGCTCTTCCATGGATAATTATGAGCGCCCCAGACTCCCAGCCAATTTCCCAGCTTCTGCCTCCATTCTATGCCCGTCTCGAACTCCATGCAAGAAAAGTTTGCGATAGCTTCCCCATCCTAGAAATTTGTCGTGCATACCAATGTAGTTTCCTTCAATAGCAGTCTTTGGTGTTCTGAAGCCCAGGCCAACATCCTTGTACCATCTTCGTCCACCCTTTCCGACAGCCTTGCTCTTCGATTTTACTTTGGAGTTGGTGAAGATGTGAGGCTGCTTCAAAAACGCACGCTCCGACTGGACGGTCAACTCAGTCGCCATGGCTGCGGTATTCCAACTCCTGCTCGCGCGGATAAAGGGACTATGGTTGGAAGGGAGGAAGGGTTGTCGTTGTCGTGAGTCCGCGAGGTCGTCGATAACGTGCGAGAGTGTCGAATCTTTCGGACTTTGGATGTTTTTTCTTCGCCAATTTCCAATGTGGGAGAGAAAGTAGGGCTCTATGCCTAATATGGTATAGCATTTCTTGGCTTAGGGCTTTTGCTTTGTTTACAGACGCTAGTCCTAATAAGGTAATATGATTCTAATCGCGACTTCAAAGCCTTTTTTCGAGGGGCGCCAGAAACATTGGATTATAACATCACGAACTAGATTACAAGCTTTGTCTATGGATACATGACCTGGAGTAGTCTATATAGAACTGACAGCTGGATTGTCATTTTTTGGGACCACCGTTTCCGCATGTCACCTTTTTTGGCCGATAAATGAGCAACGATGTCATCCTATACCCGAGATCCAAGCAACGTTGCCCGCGTGAGAGCTCGACGCTCACTTGCGCAAATGCCCCATAGAGGGGGTGGCATTGATATCGACAAAGAGAATGTTACCACGGATCTTAGTGCAGTTCAGAAAACCAGCAATATACCCTCTAGGACTTTCGGAAAGGATAAACGGTCTCGCAGTAAGAGTCTAGGGCCCGGGGGGTTGGATCTCCTGAAAAATGGAGGCAACAGCAGAAGAAAGGTGCGTAAATACAGAGAGGCCCTCAGTTCTTTGTGTCTGGCCCCTGGCTAAAAAGTTGACCTTTCCCTACTAGTCTACAGCTGCAGTCCAATTGAAGTCGATTCTGAAGCCAACCATACCTGTTTCTCCCATCAGCCATATTCCAACCTTTGCAGAGACGCGCAGGAAAACGCCGAATCGTGATGGATTTGGGAACGGTCAAAAGGCATCCAGGAATGATGATCTTCTTATTGATTTTTCGACACCCACCACCGCTCCGGTTGTCGGCACAGATAACCTGGTCAACCCATTTGATAATTTTAATCCGATACCACCTTCCAAGGCCAAAGATTTGGCAGCACAAAGAGAGAGAGAGGAAAAAGAACGGATCGAGCGAGAGCGAGAGAAGAAGGCGATACTCGAACAGCGAGCCGCACGGAGGAAATCTATGGGTAATAGCTGTATCCTTGAGTTTATGTTTGGTCATGATACTGATGTATTTCCTAGCCAATCGCCGAGTTTCATTTGCGCCTGAGGCAACACTACATACCTGGAACGTAGTCGAACTAATGGAGGACTCGACTGCTTCTTCAGCTGCGAATACAACTCGCAGAGCTTCTTCGTTAACAGCTGGCGATGTAGACCAGGGCTCAGATGCTTCAGAGCCGCCATCGTCCCCTGAGAAATATGATCCTGAAGATTCCAATCAACCAGCTGCGTTAGATGACCTCGCAGATGAAGCGTTTTCTTCAAGCCCTTTTAGTGGCGGCTCCGCTGCTGAGAATGATGCTGGTTTTCCAGCAGGAAATATAGAAGTAGAAAGTGACTCACTGAGCTCTGGTCCTGAAGATGAGAGCACTAACATGATCATTGAAAATGCTATCGAACAATTTTCCCCCGATTCTGACGGCTCGACGCCCAGTTCTAGCAGCCTAGAACGATCGCTAAAAAGAGCCGCTGAAGTGGCCGGTACCAGAGGGATTGACTTTGATGAAAATGGAGACTTGTCTATGGAGTTCACTAACCATGAAATTGTTGGCGCTTTCCAGCCCTGGGTTAAGAAAGGCTCTTCTGCCAAATTCGATGCTGAAAACCTCACATCTCGCTTCGATCAGGAAAACATTGGGTTCGCAAAGATAGCTGCCTCGAGTTCCAGGAGAGCAAGCACAACCAATGAAGATGATGGAGATATGAGTATGGATATTACAAAGCCCGTTGGTGGTATTATTCGAAGGAAAAGTATTACCACAAATATCGATAGTCACGATTCCCATCCATATTTGCCATTCCAGAAAAACCAGGAATCCCTCCGTCGAACATCGGCTGCGACAAACCTTGGAGACCAGACAATGGAATTCACAAACGTCATCGGTGGTATTAAAAGCAGTTCTCCTAAAAAATTTGATACAGAAAGCAATATCGATACTGACGAAGAAATGACCATGGAGTTTACCAATGTTTTGGGTGGTGTCCTTAACAAACACAACTTGGATAATCAGAATGATTACACGCACCAGGAAGGACCAAATTACGGTAATGAATATGAAGGAGACGTAACATATCCCGACTTAGGAGAAGATGATATGGAGATGACGGGCGCAGTTGGTGGCATACTACCCCCAATCGAGGAGAGAACTGAACCATCCGATGATGGAACCATGGGAATGGATATGACGAATGCTGTGGGCAAAATTCTAGCACCCTTTCGTGTCGACAGCCTAAAAGGCAAAAACCGAACGGATGATGAATATGATGCAGATCCTCCGAGCTCTCCTTTCCAAGAGAACGTTGCTGAATCCCCTGCGAGAACCCCGTTACCGCCACATGCAGCTCTTGTGACATCTGATGGCGGGAGCCCCTTACGCAGTATACCTAGGCTGAGCATTGCATCTCGGGCCTCTAGTTCTCCAAGGCAATCATTATCTCGGCGGTCCTCCCCAGCTAAAAGCCCATGTACGCCATCGAAACAAAAACCTACTCGTATTACTGGGCCATCAACGCCCGCTACTCCCGAGGGAAGTCCTATTAAGCCTAAGTCTAGGAGTGCATCCCCTCAAAAGCGACGCATTTCGCCAATAAGTCAGCATCCTACAAAACCAATGCCAAGTTCCTTGTTCCAAAAAAACTTACTAACAGGGCAATCAACCCCAACTTTTGTTTTGAAAGCATTAAATTCATCTATCCATGGTATAAGCAAGGAGGGCCTTGGTTCTCCGCGAGTTGCAGAAATATTAGACAAAAGGCGCTCCATTGGAGAAGATGCTCAAGAGTTTATCTTGAAGCCAACCCCCAACCGAGGTGTCAAGTTTCATGATATGCCGAAACCGGAGCAAGAGGTTGGAAGAGCTATTGAAGATGATGTTTTGCATAGGGCGAGTCAAGAATCCGAAAAGGATGCTACACTCAATCTGAGAGAGCTAATTTCAAGCCTCACCCCGAAAAAGAACAAACTCAAAGGCCGCAAAAGTCTCCATGTTGGTGCGGCTAGAGGCCTTCTTGGGAAACGACCCCCCGAACTTGATATGGACGATGCTGATGAAGACCTGACACCAAAACGCCTTCGTGGGAGAGAAGCTAGTCCAGTCAAAAACATTAAACTTCCTGCTCCTCCTTCAAAGGCTGAAACAGTTGGTCGGTCAAGCCGTTTCTCATTTCATTACGACAGAAGTATGTCGCCCTTGATAAATAATGTTTCTCCAGCAAAAATATCCCCAGTGAAACAGAAGTATTCACCCGAGGAGCCTATAGAGTACACCTCAATTGACAGAAAACCAATTGAGAAAGAGGATAAGATAGAGGCAGAAATCTTGTCTGAAAGCACCAATCCTCCGGTTGAAGCAATCAAGCTCTCTGATTTTCTTGGAATGACCAACATACACTTTATGGAGTTAACTACAACCAAACGGAGACATACTATAGCCCCTGGAAGCCCTGACAAGCGCGGTATAGAAACATTAGACGGTAGAAAGGTGTTCAGCTTGGAGGACCGCGTTGCCGCTGGATTCTGCACCCTACCCATGCTTGAACTATACCAACACGTAAGTTTACTTTGGGTAACAATTATATTCTTGAAACAGTACTGTTTTGTTGGCTAACTATTTAATAATAGTCTTGTCGGGAACTTAAATCATATATTTCTGAAGGTCGACGCATCATTCGATCTATAGAAGCTGAGACATACGCAGAGAACCCTCCATTATTTCAGGAGTATATCATGGCCACGCCAGATATCAGGCTCTTGATGGATAACCAGTTCCGCAATGTTAAAGCTCACGCACGACTGCTAAGCAAAGAAATGTGGTATGAATGGCGCATGAAACTCCTGGAAGGCTTAAAGCAAGGGTTAGATCGGCATGTCGATGAAATGAAACAGGACGATATACTTCTTTCCAAGAAAGAAAAAATACTCGCAAGGGTGGTTCCGGGCTTGGTTGAGAAGCATGCAAAACTGGAGATTGACTCTCAAAATCTCCAAAAGGTGGTAGAAGAGATTGAAAACTGCGATCAAGAGGAGCTACGAGACGTCAGAAAAAAACTTTTAGATGTCAAGACGGAGCTTTCAGGACAGAAAAATAAGTACGAGCATGCACGGAATAGGCTGAATGAGAAAGGCAGTGTCCTGGAGAAAGACCAAGCGCGAAAAGACGAACTGCTGCAACAGATACGTGATGCCGAGAATATCAAAGAGGAATGTCGCGGTTGGGATATGAAAGAAGTACGCATTCTGCAGGGTAAGTTAACTCATATGCCTCTCGTGAGAGATTTTCCCGAAATCAGAAAGCTGACCAGCTCCGTATAGCTTCTGTTCACGGTTTAGAGAAGCAAACCGGTTGGGCTGTTATCTCGGCAAAGCCGGGTAAAGGTGCTGTAAAAGGTGCCACGCTCTCAATGCGTTACAGTGGGGAGCTTCGACTTGACTTTGACCCAGAGCACCTTCGCCCTCATTTACAAAAATCAGTCAAGGAAGGACGACGGACATCACTGAACGGTGACGCGCCTCCCGTAACGCTAACATACTCACCCGGTGGAACTGGGTCACAATCAGTCGCCGTGAAACCTAGCCCAGAGATTTCCCTTATTCTGAATGCTATACGCGCGCGAATTTCCCATTCTACTCGGACCCCCATTTCATTCAAATCATTCCTCAGTAGCATTGCGAGATCTTGGGAGACTGCGAAGTCCTTGCGAGAAGAAATCCGAATGTTAGGATATTGTGGTGTTATTACTACCAAACCAGCAGGGCCTGATCCGTCCAAGCCCACGCTATTGAATATCCGTTGCACGCTGCTTGGCTGGGTGAAAGACAAAGATAGAACCGCCAGGATTGATCTATATCATAACAAAGGGGAAAGGACCCGGGCAAGGATTGACATTGACTTCACCGTCAAACCAAATAATCAAAGCAAACAGGCAGACTGTTCAAATGCTGATATTGACATTGACGTAGATGTCACCGCCTGCAGGGTCTACGGGTTTGGAGGCCTCAATAGCTCTCAAACCCCAGACTCACAGCTAAGTGATATGTTGGCTAAGCTAATGGATAAATCACCGAAGAGTTTCGGCAGTGGTCTATGGAGAGCCACTGTGAAGACAGTTGGGGAGAAGGTGTTCCTTTAATAACAGGTGGAAGAACGTCTTCAGACATTTTCTATATATTGGAGCTGGTTAAATGATTAATGACTTATAATGTGAATAGGGGGCATTACTTTGTTTCTTGTAGGGTTTAACTATTATGGTGGGTTCCTCGCAAGTTTGAATGGAATTTGCAGTTGTGTTTGAATTTATTAACCATGGTCATATTAACTAGCGTATAGAGTAAAATTCAACCCTGCATTGCACATATTTTGCAAATCGAAGATCTCATTAACTAAACCGCAGTGGAACTCTGAACGAGCACCAGTCTCCAATTCTTGCCATCAGTTCAAGGCCATTTACGTTGCCACAGAAGGTACAGCCTATCAGAATGAACAACCGTTAATCACTATTTCTAGATGTAATAACTCTTTCTCGAGGAATTCGTCGTAACAACTGGATTATTTTAAACTTGCCATACGGCAAGCAGATAAACCTGAGGGATCAACTATAGGGCAGTTATGAAAGATATCAGCCCCAAGCATACCAGATCTTAGCTAAAACCCCGACTAAACATCGTCCACAACCATTAGTGGCGGGATGGATATTGCTTTCTACCTTAAACAATGCCTATGATAGAAGGGTTCCTAGATGTGCGGATACTTGGGACAAAACTTCATATATTAGAAAATGTCGCGGGCCAAACGTATTGAAGCCTCACGAGTGCAACCAATCTAACCGTGAGACAACAATATAATGCTCACTGTTGATTATATGCTGGGAGTTAACGGGTTCGTCCCTCTTCCTTCTGCTCCAGGTACCGCAACCAGTGTCAACGCCCTATTATCTACTATATTGTTGGGCTGGTCATATAAAGCAGGATATTCGTTCAGTCCATTAATTGGACGCTATTGGAATATCGCAAGGCTCCCATGCCTCAGTAATATCTTCTGAATATTTGATAATATGAATGGAAAACATTATAACATTATCGTATTAAGTGTAATAGGGGTGGCAAAAGTATATATAACGTAGGTCGAGTTCAAGTGAGTAATGGCACACAGAGCGGAGCCCGTCATAATCCTCAAGTAATTAGACTAGCGATGGCAAAGAAAAGCAGTGAATTGCTGGTGAAAACAATACTTATCTGCCATCTGGATAGTATAGACCACGTTTTATTCACCACACCCAACATGACGGGCTGCTTATTCCAGGAAACATTTTATATGAGGACATTCATTTTGTAGAGGGTATCAGCAAGAGTGGGCCATTTGAGCAGCCAGAGATAAGATGTAAGCCGCGTAAAACAGAGGTGCTATTTTTACGCGGCAACCTGCACTCTTTCTTCCTCCCTTACCCCGTCACCATTTGCCTGAATAATGCCATCCTCTTCATAAATATCGTCTTCATCGCCGTGTGATTGAGAGTAATTTGGGTGTTGCTCCGCAGGCACCCACGAGTCACGATCCCCACGGACAGAGTGTTCGTGGCTGCCCACCTCCCCTCCATCGGCCCGGGACTTGGAAATATTATTTCTTCTTCTCTGAGACAGGGTGCGTGACCGAGTGGAAAGTTTTGAGTGAACTGCAGCGCTGGAGGAGACCCAGTTTGTCAATGCATCCTCACAGTCCTGGATGATAGCCTTGCTCGCATCGTATCCATCGTACGCTGCTCGTGTTTCCCCAGGAGTTACGGGAGTGTCGTCAATCAATTCAACTAGGTGCTTTCCATAGCCTGCAATAATGGCTAATTTTTCACAGTGTTCCCTCAGAGCATCGAACTGATAGTTAAATGCCGCCTTAACTTTCTCACGGGTAATGTTTGAAAGCTGTGCTTCGGCAACAAGAGACTCCGCCTCTGCTCGGACAAGTTCTTGTTCTAACACGACGAGGCGTGGTGAGTTCGGGTCCTTGTATTTAAGCTGTGCAATTTGGTCGGTAATTTTTTGTTTGCCTGTCGTATGGTTAGCTCTATATAATAGACAGCAAGATATTAGGGGACTCACGATCTCTGCTAGGTTGAACTGAAGCTTCGATGTTACGGATACTCTTAATGGTTACTCGATATTGGTCGTATCGATCGATAAATTGGTCCTCCAATTCTCCGATTTCATATATCAGAACACCAAGTTTATCAGTGATATCGGAAACGTCATCGTCGCAGCCTTCTCCCCAAAGAGATAGTTGTTGCTACAAATAGATTAGGTTTAAACCAAGATTCAAGGTATTTCTTTGGTAGACGTACCGCAACATCCATCCTCTCTCTCCCAACCATTTCCATACTGCGCATAACGTTCTTCTCCATCTTCACTAACTGCGAAAGCTTTTTTGCAAGGTCAGGGCCGAAGCTACCTGCGGTAGTTTTACGGAAGGCATGGCCTAGTAAAAACATACTGTTAGTATGCAAGTTATATGGAGATCAAGAAGCATGTCATTATCGGCCTCAGGGGTATTAGATCGAGGATATGTCGTCTTTGCCTAAGTAAGCAAAGACGACTGTAGCCAGCGGCTATGCGTGCACAGGTAAACAGCGGAGCCAGTGTGCCATACCAAAGCTAGTGCCTCCAAAGAGCCTATTGGTCTTGGTCGATGAGATTGGTGGAGGTGGGCTTTCGATCTGGGAGGCCGTGGGAGCACGGCTCTGGCGCAAAGAATAGGTTCGATGCATATTAAATGACAATCTGTATGGGAGCTCAAATAACGGGGGAACGAAAAGAGCGAAGAAGCGGTTGACTAATATTCAATTGCCAGTTTATCGCTGTAGATATCTCTAGATCCCCCTGTTGTCTGTTATGTGGATAAGGGGGAGATGGAAATCGGCGGAACCAACGGAGAATGGACGCTGAGGATCCGGAGGGTGACTCCTGAGCGTTAGTTATAGAATTTCAGCGAGCGCAATTGGTGACAGACTTCAATGGGCTTATCGAGAGCAGAGCTAGAGGAGCGTAGAATACCGTCTAGGGGGCGATATGTTATGTTGGATGTTCAAACTTGGGTGGGAAAGGGAATTTTGGGCCTTTTTGTTATTATTTTTTATGTTAAGAGCAGGGAAGATGACGTCGTTGATGACTCAGCAAAAGCACCTTTTTCAGCCGCTTTCCAACGCCCCTGCAGCGATTCTTTTCTTATAGTTAAACTTATTATTTCATAGTGATGAAGACAAAAAAGAACCTCTGATGTCACTGTTGGGCGTAACGTCTACTTTGCATCCGTTTGGCTTCTGTGTAGGCCCGGAAGCTGCTGGATGTAGTTTAATGTACAAACGTCACATCATTTCTACGTCATATCTCCACTTTGACTACTTACAATATAAACATATTGAACGGAGACGGAGATTTAATATGGTTCAATCTAGAACACTGGCGCTGCCGTATCATTCGTGCGCTTCTCCAAAGCACCATCCTTGAGTTGATCAAAATGTCGACCGATAAGGTGGTTGTCCCAGTTGCCGCCGGAAATGTTTACCTTCAGTGGTATGTAGACGGGGAGTATTTCTTGAGACGCTATACATCCGTACGTTTTGTCTTTTTGCGGGCCTTGCGAGCGGGCTGCTTATTGGTTTTTTCATCATCTTTGTCGATTGAGGCGCTAGTGGCATTAGACCTTGCCCGTCGTCGAGTCTTCGCTGATGTCACGGAGTTGTCACCTCCAATCTCATCCAATGGAATAGGACTCTCTATATTGTTGGAGTACGAATCCAGTGTAGTTTGTCTTGCTTCTGCTTGATTTCTAAGCCTTCCAAATGCCTTTTCCATACGGCTCTTGCCAGCCGTACGTTGGCGAGGCGCGAAGGCCCCGGCGCCCTGTGGACCTTGGAAGAACCCAGTGATATTTGATTGCGTGCCCTCCTGCTCTCTTCGGTTTACATCCCGTATTACTGGGACGAGGACTTCATCAGTTCTTTCCGGAGACCATCCTATCGTCGCCATTAGGAACTGTCTCACAGCATCCAAATCAGGGACGCCCCATTTAAACTCCGAAGGGTCGGAGTCTACCTCAGGTTCCAGGTATGCTTTTTCAACTGCCTTGTCAGGGAATCCTGGAGGTAAAAACAGTTTTGTGAGGTTTTTCTTAAACTTCTTGCGGAACGCAGCGTGGGTATCATCAGGTATTTTGTTCCCTAGCTGAACCTGTGACCACCAATCCCTAAATTCTTCTAGGCTCGAAAACTCGGTGAGTATCTCAAGCGCTGTTACAGGACCAATGCCCGGAATACCTTCCGTATAGTCACTTCCTAGTAAGTGAGAAAAGCTGATAAGCTTCTTCCTATCCAGCGTGTATTCCTTTTCCAAGTCACTTGAAAGGTAACACTCCACATATTTTGATTGGTTGAACATGTTTTTGTAAATGCGTGTACCTCCAAAGAGGAATGTATCACTATCATCCGTGACGATTCCATCAACCAGTCCCAAGGAAACCAGCTCGGCACATTGCGCTTCCGCTTCCATTGGAGCCGTTATATATGGAAGCCCGAATAGTCGTAGTAGCTGCTGGCATTCGGTAACCATAATATGAGAGACCTCGTCAGCGTCTCTCCTATCTTTTTTCTGCTGGGAACGAAGCTGCTTCAGTTCTTGTTCATAGTCAAGGGCATTTTCGGCCTGGCTCTTGGAATTCAAAGTTGAAGCAAATCTGGCATGTTCTTCGGCTTCCAAAGCTAGCTGGTGCATTAATTCATCATCTTCAGGGTCAGAATAGTCGCCAAAATCATCGGGAAATTCAACCACAGCATTCTCAGCGTTTGGTTGAGGTTCGATATTGGAAACTGAATGGCTAGATGGTAGCTCATTAATTGATTGATCTGGTATAGTAGTGTCTCCAACCTTTGGTCTCAGTGGCTTATTGTCGGTGTTCGGTATGTTTTCAATAGGATCGATTGGTTCTAGGGCTTTGGGGGGTTCTTTAGGGCCATTCGATTCCCCAAGAATTGATTTCCATGAAGGACTCTTAGGTGCCTCAGGCGCATCAGATGGCTTTAATGAGTTTTCTGTAGCCGCTTCCTCTTGGTCCAGCACATTTACCGGTAACAGATGTGGCTGGGTATCGGTCGGAGTAGGTGAACATGTGGCGGTCGCATCTGAAGGCGAGTCAAGGTCGATAACTTCTTTTTGATCCTCCGTATAATCGTCAACATCTGTTATATCTATCATATTTGAGCGAGAGGATATATTATTTTTTTGCCATGACTTGCTGTAGAGATCTACTTCGCCCCTATCTTTTGAAATGAACTCCTTTTGCTCAGATGGTCCTGAAAACCATGGAGGGAGCGGTTGTTGTTTTTCTTCCTTCGCTTCAGAGCTTTCAAATCCTCCAGCAGCGCTATCATCTGAATCCTTGGTCGTGCCGGTAGGTTCTCGTGGCCCCCTAATTACTCTAAGAGGTTCAAATGGTAGGGGCCCAGAGAACGGATGTGAGGGCTTTGTATTATCGGCTGGTTGCTTTGTAACCTTAGATTTGGCTAGGGCAGAAAACAACTCCATTTCATTATCATCACTATCTGAGTGATTCGGCATATCCATCGCCTTGGTATGATCGCCAGCGGCAGGCTTACCTACCCACTTATCGACTTCAGGGTGGTCATTATCAGGCACATCTTCAAGAGATAGCTTGATGGCTCTTGAAAGGTCTGTGTCTTCCTCGTCCTCCAAATTCTCAAAAAGCTCCGCTACTCCAGCGGTGTCTGGTTCAGTCCCATCTTCAACAAAAAGTGAGTTATTGTCAATGCTGCCATTACCCTCTTTCGACTCGTTGGTTGTCATTTGCTTTCGAGACTCGTATAATTTTTGTCTTTGTTGAAAAATAGACCCATCAAAGACACCTTGTTCAAATATCGGTAGCTTTGGAAGGCGGTTAAGGCCCTCAATAGGCACGTCCTCGAACTCTTCACCTTCATCATCATCGTCAGACAAAACTTGCTCGTCCTGTTTATCTATATTAATTGGTTGTTAATATCTGTCCCTCTTTATACCCAAAACGCCCAATGCCA